CTTTCTTTCTCTGCCCAACTCAGCTCTTCTTTTCCTGTCTCTCCTGTCTTTCACCAGTTCCAGTAGTGCGTGGCCCCTCTTCACTGCTTGTATATATTTTCACGTGTATGTCTGTGTCATTCCATTCCTTTTTGTGATTCTGTTGCTTCTCCCTTTCCTCCTCTTTACCAGATGCTCAATTTTACCCTCATAATTATTCCTTTTCTGTTTTCCTTTTGTCACCATTGTTTTCTTGTCACCTTTGGGTGACAGAGGACAGTTGTCTAAAAGGCAGACTTAAGCCAGTGTTCATACCCCATGTTCCTGTTGAATGTGAATTGATATATTCCTGGCCTTTGGCACACTTTTTTTGGGTTGATTCCCACCCCCTCTTCTCCCTCCCCCTCCCCCAAGGAAGTTGCCATATTTTTGCAGTGGAAACTTGAACTTTTTGTTTTGCTGGAGTCATCTCTATGTGCTGTTGTGTTCAGCTGGTTGTCTGTGGTTTACTTTGGTTTTTGGGTTTGTTTTTTTTTGCTTTGTTTCAATGTAGGTAGTACTGATGCATGACAGAGAGACAGGCTTTCTTTTTATTCTTCATTGTAAATTATTATGTATTGCTGAGATTAATATTAAGTGTTGAAACTTCTGTTACTCTTTTTAAGCCTGTCCTGAAATAAAATATCTGTCATTTAGTTACACTATTGTGGGATTCAATGTAGTATGTATCTGTTAGGGATGGTCCTGTAACTTTGCCAAATATATTAATACTGGGTTGTGTCTTGTGACCACAGCCAGATTACTTACAGTGATTCCTGATGAACAGACACTCTGAATAGATCCTGTAGCAGTTCTGTATGGTTGTGGTTTTTGTACGGAAACACTCTCATGGAAACCATGGCAGAATATACAGAGGAGCCAGTGACCCTCTGTCATAACTGGGGATGAAACAACTTTACATTCTTTATATTTTGGTATGGAGACTTGTGAAGACTCGAGGTGCCATTTTACTCTCTTCTCTGATACCTGTATTAGCAAGTTTTACCATTGTTCCAGTGGATCTAAAGCAAACACCTGTATAGCAGACATTGTGTCCAAGTCTGTAACTGTTTGCAGTGTTAGTAGATCACCACAGCAATTGTGTTTTTATAAATTCATTATTGTCTGAGCCACCTCAGGAGTTGAAATTGCTAAACCCTAGATTTCCCAGAGGGATCTAAATGGTTCGGGGATTTGATAATAGGATACAGGTCATTAGTTTAAATCCTGATCAGACTAGTAGTGTTTGAAAGCTAGTAGTGTCTGATGGCACGAGCATGTGTGAAGTGAGGTGGTGATCTCTTTCCTTATAGACTGGCATTCGTGTTTGCCAGGCCTCTCATCTACCAGTTTCCTTGCTCTGTTTATCAGGCCTGAGATGGAGTAACTCTGCTGCATTTTAGCGCTCTGTCACTGTGGATTCCTTGCCCCTTTCCTTCCTCATGTTAGCTCTGCAAAACATGAATTATGTCTAAATAAGTAAGAAGAGCTTTTTTTTGATCCTTTTCTCCCTGGTGCGTCTCCCCCTCTATCAATGAAGCACCTGGTATACTGTGACCATTTTAGCAGCAATGAACCGGAAGAAATACAGTGAAGAGCAATTACTTTTCCTTCTGCTTAGAGGGTAAGACGTCTAGTCTACTCTCGAGTGGCCTTCTGAGTAGTGACTAAGGCCTGAGCAAGTACAGACTTCTGCCCCAACAATGTCTTTAGATTGGAGTAATAAGGGAAGGCAATGTTTATACGTTACTTCATCCTAAACTTCACACTACATGCTCGGGCAAGAGTGAGAGGGGAAAAAAAAAAACAAAACCCAAACAGCTAAAATTCCTGGGTTTGTCTCTCAGGACAAGCTATATTTTTCTGGTGTAAAATAGTGTCTTCAGTACTTTAGATATGTTGCCTTCCTCCAGCATAAACTTTCACACATACCTAAGACGAATGTTGGCTACAAAGACTTACATGCCACAGCCTATGTAAAATATTGTTCCTTCCAGAACTGGTTGTGTGCTCAGCAGGGTTAAATTCACCAGCACCAATCTCGTCTTAGATCTCAGTCGGCTGTTCTGAGTAGCAAACAGGAGCCTAATCCTTTATACAACCGTCTGCAAAGGTGGATTTTTCACACACGCATTTGTTTTGCTGTGAGCTTTTAAGCTTTTGAGCAGTCTGTCCACTTCTTTCCAAGTTGCGTGAGAGAATAGTCTGCCTGCATTCTCCAGGAGAAGCAACTGTTTTGTGAGTAACTACAACCAACTTACTCAGAGTCTACATTTAGCTTGTATACTGAAAGTGTCAGATTGTTGTCATAGGCTGCTTATCAGAAACGGTTCAGTGATCTCTTGGATCCCATCCAGAAAAAAAGAGAATGGTCTCCAAGAAAACAAAATTGTAAACAAAATTCCTGAGATGCTAGAGTGACAACACTATATTTTTTTAATTTGGGCTGAGTACCTATAGGATCCTCTTGTAGAGGACACATCCATGACTTTCTCACAGAAGGAGATAATGCAAAAGGATTTGGAATACAGGATATAAGAGCAGACAGCAAAGGTATAATGGGCCTTACAGTAGATAAACCTGTGAAAGAGTAGTGGAAATTAGAATTAATGTAATACATTTTAAATAAAATTGTATTTTATGAATATTTTGAATACCAGATGTGGATTTTTCTTTTAACCACTTTATTACTTTTGAGCACAATTGTAGCTATCAGCCCTGTTCTCAAGGCTGTGAATATTTAAAATTCAAAGGAGCTGTGGTTTGTGGGGTTTTTGTTGTGTGTTTGTTTTTTTTTAAATTGACTGTCAGATAAGTGTTATGTGGGTCAGAAATGAGATGGCTAAACAGTTTACTCTGCAGGGACAATCACTGTGATACCTAGATGCTGAAAGAATGACTTCATGGTATATGTTAAATGTGAATGGCAGATAGTCTAAACCCTTGCTTCAGATTGCATATTTGAATCCTGGAATGCTCAATGCAATTTTTGTCCTTTTGAGGTAGGTAAAGCAACAGCTATATAGTTCATTAAATGTTCATCTTTCAGCTAAATCTGAAAAGTTGAAGCTTACATGTGTTGGTTCACATTAAGAAAAGTGGAAGAGAGAGGTATTTTCTAAAGTCTTGGGGTAAAACCTCATTCTCTGGTCTCTTTCCATGTTCTGTTCCTCAGCTCCATGGCTCTGCTGGCTTCTGTGGAAGTACCAGTATTTATTGGTGGTTGAGTTGAGGCAGTTCTTCAGTTCTGGCTTTAGTTGTATTGATACAAATGAGCATGTTTGAAAGAGTAGCGTACAGGTATGGATGAGGGTTGTAGGTAAGCTGGAAGTTTAGATTCCTTAAAGTCCTACAGAAATACTCAGTGTCAGTCTTTGAAACACATTGGAGAGAATTAGCTGGGTTTAGTCACACATTCAAGCCTCGTTCTGGGGCAGTGGTGGGAGGGGAGAGACCTGTCACGCCCTAGATGGTCTCTGCCAGGTATCAAATGAGCAACATCTCAACACTATTAGCCTTTCAGCTTCCTTTTCTGGAAGAGAATAAGGTGTATTAACCTGATGCTGGTTAGGAAAGTATGGGAGATAAGCTATGATCTCTGTCAGACTTGCTCTCTGCTATTGTTTCAGTCAACAGGACTGGCAAGAGCCTAAGTTGTGCCATGGCTGGCGTGGCCAGACGGGGAGCTTTGTGCTTGCTGTCTGAGAGGGGCCTGGCTGGGCTCAGAGGTAAAGCAGAGGTTCCTGCCTGATGGAGACTTGAAGAGAGGTAGGCAAGGCAGGAGGGTGCTTCTTGGTTTACTGTATCGAATGTGTTTCAGGTGTGGCACTATCAGGTGGTATCCTGTCAAAGCAATTGTTGCTGTAATAATTCTTAATACGTGGTTATGTGCATGTATGTGCCTAACCTGACTTGCTTCTGGAGATAATGTTTTTGTGGGTTTTTTTGTTGTTTTTTTTTATTTCCTTCTAAGGTGCCCTTGGATGAATTGGTTCATGTTGTTCTTTGGAGAATTGAACATGAGATGTTCTGTACAAACACGTTCACAATAGAAGGAAGGTCATGGTGCTTCTGAAAGGCTCAATCTTTGTTATGCACCACCTATTCAAAACAATACATGCTAGAGAGGGCTTAAAAAATTGATCCAACACCAATGAACCAGATGACTGAAAGTCCTCCTGGCAGTCTGAATGATGTAGGAGAGATCTGGGAGCGGTGTTAAAATGGAGCAAGACCCTGATAACAGCCAACATCAACACCCAGCTTTTGGGAGAGCAAAAAGTGATGGGACTCCTGCCAGGTTATGTTACTGAAATGTCAGCATTTGTGATCAGTACTAGGAATATGTAGTTTTACATTTCCTTTGTAATGCATTTGTCTCCAAGCACTCTAATTGCATTATTAGAGAGAATGTCTGATAGATACTGAAGAATGTTCACAAAACACTTGCCAATTTTCTTGTTAGCCAGTTCTGAGAGCTGTAAGATCACTTGAGATCTGTTTTTCTCAGGCAAGGTTGTGATCAATAGTGGAAGTGGTGGCTGAATCCATGGACCATCAGCTCTGCTGCACTTCTGATTTGGAATGTTGTTCTTGCAATTAAATGGCTGAAGAAAGTTCTACTGTTTCAAACAAATGTCCGTGCTTCATTATTGCTATGCTTTACAAATTTCTGTGCCTACTAATCTCTGTGGATTTAGCACCCAAGTGGAATTTTTCAAGACTAACTTCTAGACCTCCAGTTTGGACACTCATCTGTAGTTGTAAAACAACCCATTTCAATGAGTTTCTATGGGCTGTTATATGATGTGGAAGTTTTAGAGGACTGGTGATGTAACTACCATAATGTACTATGAAAGCCCTGTTTCAAGTGCTTGCCTGACAACAGAAAGGGTCTGCAATTATTTGTTTATTACTGCTTGCTGAGTTTCTGTATCGGTCAGTTCCTTCTTTGCTGTAACTACTTGTGTCATTCCTTTTAGGATTCAGAAGGAGGTCTCTATGTGTGCATGAACACATTTCTGGGATTTGGAAGGGAACACATTGAAAGACATTACCGGAAGACAGGACAGTGTGTATATTTGCATCTGAAACGACATGTGACAGAGGTGAGACTTGTGGCTTCTCAGCTAACAACCCTGGCAGTTCTTGGGTCTCTTGTGCTTGTTTAGGTAACACATTTCAGACATAGAGCATATCTTGAATGACAGAAATGAACGTGTTCAGATTTGGGGCTGGATATCAAATTCAGGTGCTTGGATCCCTACCAATCCTGTAGCTTCAGTTCTGAGATCAATCAAAAGCCCTAGAGTCAGATCTTAAAGGCAGCTTGTTCGCCCGACTTCCACTGATCTTTTCCACTACACACTTCTGTGTATCACATGCATACTGTTTGCTTATTACATGCATACCGTAGGTAACTAACTACTTTTCTGAAACCTGCCTTTGAAGGATAGAATTACGGTGTTTGGCTCAGATTTGACTGGAAGCTTATGAGAATTTTTTTTATATGAGGTTTCATCTCTGTGTGACAGGACTTCTTTTCATCCTAAGATTTCTGACCAATTAAATTGTGAGCCTTAATCCTGACCTGGCCTGGGATCTAAAGCTTAGCTTAAATTAATGCTGGATTCTACAGTCAGACTACCCTCATTCAGCCTTACACCCCCACACATGTGGATATATATGTACAAACTTCACATTCACTGTTCTTCCATAATATCACTGCATATCAATAGTTATTTATAACCTGTGCTTCATAACATCTGTTTGTGTGTGGTTTGTCTGGCATCTTTAAAAGGGCCGTTCATGACTTCTGACCTGAGCTATATGGAAGGCACTGGGTTTGCTGATAGCTCACTCTCTTGTAAGCTCTGCCTCTTTTGGCAAGTTAGAGGGCCTAAAATAACTGCTTGGAGCAGGATAGAATACTTAACGTTTCTCATTCTGCAACTATGTTTCCCCTGGGTGATGAAGGCCCAGAGTTATGTAAAGTGCCCTGACCACTTATTTTATTTCCAGTAGGTGGTTATTCATATTTTATCAGAATTACGGTGAGGTGGATTGCATGTCTCCCAGGCTGAGATTGTTAATGATGTTTGTTATACTTTAGAATTGTCTTTCCTTGTCAGGGTGATAGCAACATTTTCCTTCACACCGATAACTGAGTTTTTGGAGAATCTAGTCTAGTTTTAGCAACAGTGAATTCTGAGTGAATTTAACACTCCTGAAATATGATATCTAGGACTAGAGACAGGTGGGCAGAAATCCTGTCAGCTTTGCTTGTATATAACTTTCTTCCAGCATGTGACCTGGGAATTTTCAGTATTAAGGTAAACTGGGATTAAAATGAGGCCTCAAAAAATCCTTTCCTGGATAAAAATTAGGCTGAAGAACTCCCAAAGGGAGAAACAAATATACTGACCGTTGTTTAGTGTCAAGTACACCTTCAGTGGTTCCTGTTTTTCTCCTTGTGAATCATGATGTAGCAGAGGAGCCTGGCATCTGTGTTTGAAGGAGGTGACACGCTGGTGCACAGGCTCATGTGGTTGGAAATAGTGTTTGACTATACAGTACAGGTGAAGATTGTGTCATCTAACATGCCTCAGATAGGATTCCTCATACATTAACTGTAGATTTTGTTTACCATGACTGTTTGCTGCTTACATGCTATCCGTGTTTTCTTTTGAGCAATGTGAAACATCAGGCCTTCACTGGAACAGTTTTATGAGGTGTCTGGCACATGCTGTATTGTGGGTTTGTTTTTTTTAAGCCAAGCTTTTGACAGTGTGGGATACAGTAAAGCCAAAGGCATTGGATATGCTATCGTAAGATTCTTTTAGTAAGGCTGCTATTCTTGCCTGTGGTTCCCTTGGCATCAACCTTGCAGAATGAACTGCATTGCTGCAGAAATCCCTGTTTGCTTCTGAAGGTGTTTAGTATGAGTTGTGTATCTTGTCACAAGTCAATTAGAAAATAAGGGTCAGATTTTTAGCCTATTGGCTTAAGGGGAGATAGAGTATCTGCCAGTAGCAGCAGAGACATCTGCTGAATCATCAGAAATGTGTGCAAGTGCAAGTTCTGGAGCACCTTCTGGTAAAATTCTTAGCGATATCTAGAAAATGGATCTTTTATTTTCTCTTTTTTCCCCAAATTTCTGTCTTCAAAATTTTTAAATCAGCAACTTTCTTGTAGTGTATGACTGTTGTGTACAACTGCCTGGCTACTATTCAGCCCTGGGCAGAGCTGTGGTTTGGTGCTGTAGTGGTACCTCAGCCCTGTTGAAAGCACTGGTCAGAGAAGCATGAAATTTCCTACAGTGATGGGTTCCTGGATATTATTTGGTGATGGCCCCATTATAAAAACCCGTGGCAATAGTGCAGTTAAAGGGAACATGGAATATGGAATAGGCTATACTGACACCTTGTATAAGCATCATAAACGGGATTTAATGCCACTGCTGATGCCTCGTGTGGACTCCCATTTGCTGGGAGTGTCATATCTGTTAAAAGCCAAATTTTTTTTGTGAATGGGGAACATAGTCAGTGATTTCTGACAGGTTGAGAAACAAGGTAAAAAAACTGTTAGCTTCTGGATTTTTCAAGAATGTTGAGCATCTGCAATTCCAATTCAGATGTATTCAGCAGTTTGGAAAATCAAGTTGAAATATTTAATGTCAGCCTGGCAGTGATAAACAGTCTGTGTGAGTTTTTCTTCTGTTAAATCTCTAGTCTTAATGATTTTCACAGCATCCCACTCGGTGACATTGGAATTCAATTGGAGCTTCATAGTATTGGAAACAATTTTTTTTTTTTAGTTCTGAAGCTATAATCCTGGGAGTTTGTGTAATTTATTCTAGTATATTTGTAATTGGGTTATGTTGTCTCTTGCTGCTGCTTTTTCAAAATAGATTTTGATTTTTGGCTACTTCCTTTCCACTTGTTAAATTCCACTAGTACTAAGGAAAAAAATGTTCTGCTTGTTATTTTCACTTCATTGAGGATTTTGCTTTTTTTAAATGCTGGGATTGCAACCATGACTCCCTTTCCCTAGGTGTCATATATATGGATAATAGGTTCTATTCTTAAGTGTGGCAAGGAGTCTGAGTTGGCATCTTGCTCTTTCTAAGAATGGAAAACTTTCTTATGATGTATAAGACCTCACTGATGATTCAAGCAGTCTGCTTTGGCCAAAGCTTTATTTACGTGGTGAAAGGAACCACCCAAAATATGTGACCCTTTCACCTACCAAGCAGCAGAGGCAAACATGGGCTTTCCCTAGATTGACAGGTTCTTGGCTGGTTTCTCTCCACCTGTTGTATCCCAATATTATTATTAAAAATAAAAAAAAAAAAAGTTGCCTAACAGCCTTTCCAGTTACACTAACATTATACACTATATAATGCATCGTGGTTGGCATTATAGCCACAGCAGATTATTTTATTTGGTTTGATTTAATGATGCCTGTTAAGAAACAGCTTAAGAAGCAAGCATGTTGACTTTTACATTTCTTCAGCTACTAGCGTTTTCCGTAGTAGTTTGAGGTATTTTGAACTGGGAAAGTAGCGCTTGAAACTGAATGTCATTTGGAAGTTACTGTTGTCTGCTGTGGAGCTTAAATTAAAAAATAAAGTAAAATTCCCCCCTAAGGAATTGCTTGGGTGTTGTCAGATTTCCTCCATAATTTCTAATATTAAGAAAGCATGGTGGTAACTTGGATTGGTCTTCATGGAAGCAGGCATGGATCCTGTTGGAAAGGGAATTTTTTTTTCTGGAAAAGTAGCTGAACTAATAGATCACAGCAAAGTGGTCATGCTGGAATTAGTTATGAAGGAAGGAATCTTGTATGCAGATGATAACCTTTTCTTCACCTCTCTAATTCAGCTTTAGTCATTAAGAAATACTGTAGGGGATCTAGTGGTGAGAGGTCTGAGTGATGCTAAATGTCCCTGTCTTGCTAATAGAACAGCGGTCACCCACAGTGACCATGAGACATGCTCTGCTTAATTGCTAACAGAGCAAAGTATGAAGGATTCAGATGGTGGGTTTCTCGCTCTGTGAGTAAGCAATGATGAGTTGAGTCCCATTGTCAGAGGTGAATGAAGAGGATTTATATTGTGATTTAATAGAACATGAACAGATAGATGTGAGTTAGAAATGCTGATGGTGTGGGGTTATTGCTGATTTACTGTTGTATTGCTTGATGGATTTTTAATTGTTTCTTTCTCTCTTTCCAGAAGGTACCAGGGGCATCTGGTGGAGCTTTACCAAAAAGGAGGAATGCTAAGCTATTTTTAGGTATTGTGAACAGTCCTTTCACACAGTCCTTCTCTGACCCTGTCTGCATGTGTACTTGGGTTCTGTCCACCAGTGTCTGGCTTTGGGGCTCCTTGTGGGTTTTCTTTTTCTGTGGGTTTGTTTTTTCTTTTGGGGGGGGTGGGGAGGGTGGTATTTCATTTTTGGGTCTAATTTTTAAAGTTGGTCCAGACAAATAAGTCATTCTTAGCAATTTTGGTGCATATTGAAAGATATGTGTATGTATACATGAAACATTTTAATCTAAAGTAGGCCCTCAACTATTCTCAAACAGCCTAAGGTTTGACAGGCATTTTTGGACTAATTCTGTCCCTTCTTTCTCTTTGTGCTTTCCAGAAAGCACCCTTTTATTAAAATGTTTATCTACACTTCATGTTTAGATATAACAGGGCCTTAGCCTGGCACTGTTCTGCTCAGCAGCTGGTCAAAGTTGTTACACACGTAAGTGTTCTTAAGTGATGTTGTGGTCTCTCCTGCGCTGAATGCAACAGTACATATATCATGAGCACCTCTTACCAATTCTTATTCTGTTATGTCCACAGTTATATATATATCCCCTTGCTTCATGGAAAGCAGTTTTCTTACTGTGTCCATTTCATCCAATATCCATTGATTCAGATCACCCAGACAACCTGAGGGCCTCATACATACGGAAGAGGGGAATGTGATGCAAAGCCTGTATTCTCCCTCCTCCCACTGCTTGTGCTATTTCTCTGATTTATCTATTTACTCTCTCTGTATTAATAGTGAATAGTGATTTTTTTCTTCTTATGGTAATGAAGAGGTTAAATGTTTTCTTTACAATTGCCAGGTCTTATGGCTAAAGGGAAACAACAGCATGGCCTCGATTTGGATCTGTGGAATGTGTCCCTAAGAGGCCTTTGCAGATTGTGATTGATTAAACTGTTGTTGTTAATGTCTGGAGTTTTGCAAAGAGAGCACCATGAAGTCATAGAGTAGTTTGGGTTGGAAGGGACCTTCTGAGGTCATCTAGTCCAACCCCGCTGCAATGAAGAGGGATGTCTTCATCTCATCAGGTTGCTCAAAGCCCTGTCTAACCCGACCTTGACTGTTTCCAGGGATGGGGCATCTACCACCTCTCTGGGCAACCTGTGCCAGGGTTTCGCCACCCTCATTATGAAAAATTTCTCGCTTATATCTAGTCTGAATCTGTCCTCTTTTAGTTAAGAACCCTTACCCCTTGTCCCGTCACAACAGGCCCTGCTAAAGTCTGTCTCATCTTTCTTATAGGCCCCCTTTAAGTACTGGAAGGCTGCAATAAGGTCTCCCCGGAGCCGTCTCTTCTCCAGCCTGAAAAACCCCAACTCTCTCAGCCTGTCCTCATAGGAGAGGTGTTCCACCCCTCTGATTATTTTTGTGGCCGCCTCTGGACCTGCTCCAACAGGTCCATGTCTTTCCTGTCCTGAGGGCTCCAGAGCTGGACGCAATACTGCAGGTGGGGTCTCACCAGAGTGGAGTAGAGGGGCAGAACCACCTCCTTCACCCTGCTGGCCACACTGCTTTGGGTGCAGCCTGGGATACGGTTGGCTGCCTGGGCTGTGAGTGCACATTGCCAGCTGATTTTGAGCTTTCTCATCAACCAGAGAGAAGTCTTAAAGAGTCATAAAGAAATTAAACTTCTTTTGTGGGAAGAAACTGTTAAGTCACAGACGCTGGTCTAAATGCCATTTTACTGTCAGTTTACATTGAAAATAATGTTTGTCAGTGTATGCTTATAAAATAACTGGTTCAGAAACAAAGTTGACTGCAATGCAGTAGTGGTTGTACAATGTTAGCAATGTTTACTTAAACAGGAAGTACAAAAGCACGGTCAAATTTTATGCTTGCTGATCTACTGCATACATTTTGAGGCTCCTGTCATTGTGGTATGCTGGCACACAGTGTAGATGGCATAGTGTCTCTGATGTGCCACGTTGGAGTCCTCAAATTCCATCCTTGCACATGAGCATTTTGTTCCCACTGAGTAGATCTGGTGCAGCAGTTCAAGTGTCCTGGTCCCATGGAAATTCTGAAGGTGGTGCAGTTTCACTGGGGTGGATTTAGCACACGGAACTATCACCTTTTGACCCAGCACTTTTGGAATTTAATGCACTTTTGAAAATGTATCTCATCTGGTCTGTTGTTCTATTGCAGTCCTCTTTGCAGCCCCTGCTGGCCGGGAGTAAAAACTCTCTGCTCTGATCCTTGAGACAGTACTTCCATGCATCCAAATGCTTTGTATCCACTTCTTCAACTCAGCAGATTTTATACTGTCCTTGTTCATAGCCGAGGAAACGAAATCACAGAAGGGTCGTCCAATGACATAATTTTGCATTTGACAGTAAAATCTGGCATTTTATCTCTTAATCCAACATCTTTCTTACTGGTTTGGAGCTGCTGGACTTCTCATCTTAACGGGTCGTTTCAGTTCTGTCTTTCTCATTTAGTTTCTCTCTTTCTCGTGACCTGTGGCACCTATGGTAGCAGTTTGCACCAAATTGGCTATTATCAGCCCATATAGGTAGCCTGCCATTTAGGCCTTACCCTGTCAGACAGGAATAGACAAAGATCAATGGGTAACTCTAACATCACTGTGTTTCTAGGTGTCTTTGAATAACTCCCCAAAGGCCCAGAGATTTAAGCTTTGTACACAAAGTCAATCCAGTTTGGGCATTTGTTACATTGCTTCTTATAATCCTCTTTGATGTAAAGCTATTAATGATACTAAACCCTTTTCAATCTACTTAGTATTAGGAAAACATCTTTTGGATGCTCACTGATTACTTTCTAGCACGGCTGCTATCCAGCAAATGCAATAGAAACACAAATCAGTTTAGTCAGTCAACTGGAAGCTTTATCTTTCCCTAAACATTAAAAGACCCATAACAAAGTGTGTGTACATGTGCGCACATGCATTAGATTTTGGGCTCAATTTGTTTTTCATTTGGAGAAGGCTAGAGGCTGTGATTGTTCAAGGTAATCAGGAAGCATTAATAATATTATGCATTGAAATGTATGAACTGCCTTTAATCTAGCTTGTTTAGATGTTGCTAGGCAGTGTGAATATGGTACTTCAGCTCAGACTGTGCAAGTTTTCAGGGAATTTGGGGTGATATTTAAAGCAGACTTTCTGCATCAGAATGCATGGAGTAATATCCTCACTGCATGTTACTTGTGCTAGCAAGTTTGAAGATACTTTGTGCTTGTCAATATGTGTGGCTATCGCACAAAGAAGTTTTAGATCTATTCTGTAAAATGGAAAGAAACTAATTGATGGAACAAGATGGCAGCTCCCTGTGACTTCATGAGGCTCTCAGGTAAGAAACAGCTGTGCTGTTGTCATTGGTATGCAACCTCTTGTTTAAATCAGCCACAGTATGGTAAATATGGTACCAGTTCTGGAAAAAAGACATGATGAGATCAGGAAAAGTATCATCACTAAATTTAACTTTCATATTAGCCCATCTGGAAGAAAAAGAATGGATCAGAATTGATAGAAAGTTGTATAAGTATGACAGAACAGAAGAGAACCGCTGTGGATTTTCCAAAGTGTACTAATGGTTCCGGGTCTGCCAGAATACTCTGGGACTATGTGTAGCAGTCCCACTCCATATTCAGGGACTATGTGAATAAGATCAATTTGATTAACAGGATGTACTATGATCTTCCTTACAAGATCCTGGTCAAAAAGGGTAGTAGAATAAGAGGGAAGATCCTTGTATTGAACGGGTTGGAGGCACAGTTCTTCCAGTAGGGTTACCAGCAGAATCCCCCTGGACCTGTTACTCCCAAGAGTTATCAGCAGAGTCCTTCATAATGTTCTAATTATGAAGAATTAATGCGATTGTAAATGGTCTGGAAAGGGATTGAAAAATGAGGAAATAGTTTGCTGGTTGATTTAAAATTATCCAAGAGATTAAATCTAAAAGTGGTTTTTAATGTGATACTGAGTAACTAAACAATAGATGAAGTAAATGTTGAAAAATGCAAAGAAGACAAGAGAAGTGCTTTAACTGTGTATGCATAGTGATGTGGTCAAAATTAGCTATTACTGTTCAGAAAGGTAGGTCTGGGAGAGAGATGGTGTAAATGGTTCTCTGAAAATGTCAGCTCAGTTGTCAGCAGTGAAAAAGTCAAGTGGAACATCAGGAGTAGAGCAACATTTTATATTTTGTTCTCTATTATTTTGCTTAATGAATAGGAAGTGAACCTCTCTTTTTGAATAGAGAAACCACAGCTGCATGCAGTATCTCCCCCGTCTCTCTTTCTCCCAAACCAACCAAACACACACCACCTCCTCCCCCCCAGCAAACAAAAAACTCCAGATCACAGAATCATACAGAATCATTAAGGTTGGAAAGGACCTTTAAGATCATCAAGTCCAACCACCAGATAGATATCTAGAAGCTGGGAAGTATATACTGAGTGAGGAATCACCGCATTTTTGCCTTGTTCTGGTACCCAGTTCCTGGACTCTGTTGGTCCGTGCCAGAGCCTCCACTCTAGGCTAGAGTGGCTGTCATAAAACTTGTCTGTAGACAGATGTCCTCTTCCAGATCAGTTACCATAGCAGTATCAGCCAGTGCAGCAAGTTGTGTGAGCTCTGTTTTGAGCTAAGTCAGGGCTAACTTAGACCATCAATTAAAAGTGTCTTGAAATACTCAAATGAACAGCTCTGTCAGCAGATCTGTGAGGATGGTAATTGCTGGTGAGAAGAGTGTCAGTGTCACTGACTGATATGTATCAATATCCGTGACACACAGCTGGTCTCAGAAAGGAAGAGAAAACTTCCACTTAGAGAGTCTGGGAGAACGTGTAAACTTGCTGAGCTTTTCCTGGATGGCACCTGCCTGCCTACGGCAGTGAATACACTTATGGCTGCCATTTCCATGTGTAAGCAGCTTTCATAAGAGTGGCTGTACTGGATTTGACCACAGCTCCACTTAGCCTTCCTCGATCTCATAGCAGCCAGTAGCAGAACC